GGGCACAATGGCCGAAACACAACAACAGCAAAGATGAGGCCAATAGTCCAAATGAAAATAGTGTAAATAGTTTTTATTGGTGGAACCCTATGCCTGCAGTGGGGAAAGAATGTAAATGTAAACATCAAGAGAAATTACTGAAGATGCCGGGATGGTAAAATTTAAATTTCTGGCATCCAACATATCCAGATGTAAAGCCGAGTCAATTTCCTTCAGCTTCTTACGGCTTTTTTTTTTTTTTTTTTTTTTATTGCTGTTATTAAATATCCAACATTATAATAGGTTGTTAAGAAAGGTGAAATGTTGTATGAATCTGGATGTAAATTTACTGTGGAGGACTCAGAAATTAATGCACTTTCTATACATTTTTACCTTAACAAATTACTTTCTCTTTTAATTAAGACTGCATTATTTAAGGCAAAATTAGGGTTAGACTTATTATGCTATATTATTAGAAACTTAGTCTGTTAGTTTTGATAAAGCTAAATTGTGGATTTATGGAGTAGTAGTAATGTAAGTGGGTAGTGATAAGAAAAGAGAAAATATTGCCAATGTGCTTCTGCTTTTTTTTATCCTCTTACTACTCAAATTGGGGATGTGAAGAGATAATGTAAGTTAGTGGCACCGAAAGTGGATTCAGTAAGTTCATTTCTGCACAAATACACTTAAAAGCATGAACCTACCTCTTCTCCCTCCAGCTATAGATTAAATAGTAAGGTAGACTGGGCTCTCTAGCCTGGCATGGCAGCTAGTCTAACAGAAAGAAAACTTTGAATTGCAAATGGTGAAGGCAATAGAAAAACAACTCCAATATATTAGCAGACAGCACAACAAAAACTTTTCGCAAGTTTTATATTTAAAATGCACCCTCTGGTTTCTGGACATTGGAAGTGATAAAACCTTCCACTTATCATCAGAGATTCCAATGCCATTTCCTCACATACAGTTTTGTGTTTCATTCTAACCTGAAGAAGTCAAACACACATTTTATATATATATTATATATATATATATAAAATTTAACAAAATTACCAAATAAAGTTGTTAATTCCTATAATGCCATGCCAAATGGCCCGACAATGCAAACCATACACCAACATGAAGTGAATCAGCAAAATCATTGTATTTTGAACCACTGACCAACATGACAGGAACTGTTACAAATCACTGATCAAGTGAATTTGTAAGCAAGCTTGTTATTAAGTCCACTGCCTGAGAGCCCCAGTTTATATATAGTAAAATCATCTGCATGAGAAGCATAAAGACGCTTCACTCAGGCCTTGCTGCCACACCCTATTTCCAACAACCACAATGCATTTCTCTTTGTTACAAAAAAAAAAAAAACTATATTTTCCTAATGACATAAACAGTTGACAAGAATAAGTTTGTCTTGAAACGACACTGAATGTGTACCACAAAGAGTGGTTTTAGGGGAGCCTTTCTGTAGGATAGAGGTAAGCAAACTAATCAGATTATTACTAATAAAATAAAATTCTCACTGGGTGCTCCACTCTTGTGCCGTTGTACCAGACCAATCTTAGTAAAATACTTACAATGATCTTTAAGAATTTACTGTTCAGGATTAAACATTTAAAAAAGGTTGATAATCATGGGTTAATATATACAAATGTTTTAATAGTATCAGGTCATCCCATAAGTTCTGTCCAAGTTTTGAATAAAGAAAACAAGTGACCAAATGTTACATTTAATTACAGATTCAATCAACAATGTATTTTCCCTGATTATCTATGACTTCCTTCCATCTATTAACAAGCTTACTAATTCCATTACTGTAAAATTCTTTTTGGCTTTGATTCAAGAACTCACAAATGTCAGTTTTAACCTCTTCCTGTGTTACAAAAGCTGTTTCTTCCAAATGATTCTGTAAGCTACGAAACAAATGGTAGTCTGAAGGAGCAAGATCGAGAATAAGGTGGATGAGAAATTTTCTCCCAACCAAGTTCTTCAATCTTTTGTGACGGATTCTTGCTGTGTGGGGTCGCATTGTCCTGATGAAACATCACCTCTTTTCGATACACTAGAGCAGGTCTTTTTTTTTCCTCAAAGCTTGGTTCAAACGCTCTAATTGCTGACAGTATATTTGAGCATTAATTGTTGCATTAGGTGGTAAGAATTCAAAGTGGATTATTCCTTGGCGATCCCACCCATGTTAGCAGGGTTTTAATCAAACAAAATTTAATTTTATTGTTCTCTGAAATAAAATTTGATCAGTTTAAATGCATCTAAACATAAAAATAATGTTCAGCTCCATTAGACATTATAAAATACTTTTTAAATTTCGTTCATTTTAACAAAAAGTTAAAATTCGGACAGAATTTATGGGATGACCTGATAGTTTCACTTTGGTAGGATTTGGTTGCAATTTTCTTTTTTTAAGTTTTACAAAGCAGAATAATTTCACAGTCAGTTCACCTGATTAAACTTTATTACAAGGTTAGAAAATAAACATTTTCCAGTCAATTTGGATTTTGTTCTTCAATATAAACATAAAAAGTTTTTAAAAAATCCTATTTCTTAAAATATCAATACATGGGTGCACACTTCTGTATCTGTCTATATTTCTGAGGTGAGGTATTATGTATACTATTTACATTATACGGACTACTGTCCTCATCTTTGTTGCCATATTTATTACATTTAGGCCATTGTACGCTCAGGCCTTCTTCAGGTGGTTGAAATGTTGAAATGAACCCTTTATTTCACTCACTGGGATAGACTGTTCTAGTTCCACATGCCATGTCTAAGGGATATCAGTTATCTCCTGATTAATTCCCTCTCCAAGTTCTCCACCATCTTAACCAGGTATTGAACTCACTCTCCTGAATTGACCAAGCATAGAAATGAATACAATATGGGAACCAGTAATAAGGAGTGCCAGAGAAAAGCGATAATAACAGCAAAAATTGTAATATGAGCCCTGGTAAAAATAGTTGCTGAAGACATTAGGTTTATAATACCCAGATGTCCTCAAGGACACATGGCACAGTGGATAAAGGCGTTAGTTAGATCCAGTGACAGGACCCAAAGAGTGTGAGTTCAAGACCTGGTTATGGCGAGGGAAATTAAGCATGGCATCCATGTGGAACTAGTGAGCAAAATAAGCAACATTCCAACCACCTGAAGCAGGCAGGAGCATACAACGGCCGAAACATTGTAATAAATATGGTCAATTAATTTACATTATTCGGACAATAGTTCAAATAATGTAAATAGTGTGCATACTTCTATTATCTGTACAATGACGGATTTAGAGAATGATTTAATTAGGATCAACTCATAACACTATGAATGAATTAGAAGTATCATCATTACTCCTAATAACAAACAAAACAATTGATGTAACTCCAACACTCGCAATTTAAGAAAACAAAAAGAACAGACACGGTATTTAACAATATTGTCTTCTTTAAGTTATGTTTAAAAATTACATCCAAGTATAAAAAAACATTAAAGAATACAAGTCTTTGTAGAAACATAACATTTACTCTAACTAACCAACTAACTGAATATTTTAAGATGAACAGGATCTCCATCATGCTATGCATGTTTCAGTTGCATTCCATTCATGCCGGTTAAGATTAATTCGCTTTGTCATGTTTATTGCCAGTACAACTATTTTTCTCAAGAGATTTGTACAAAGATGTAATTTTTAAATATAACTCAAAGGCAGGTATAGTGTCAAAATATTGTTAAACACCGTGTCTTTTCTTAAATTACACTCTCCTCTAAGTGTTGTGATAATAATAATAAATGCTCTGATGCTACACCAGGCACATTGGTTTCATGCCTCCTGATCTTAATTGATTTAAGACACTTAACATGTACATGTTTTATCATCATGAATTAAGATGGACTAGAGTAAGCATCCCATTTAGTACCAGGGATTCACTTGTCAGTTGCCTGACAGTAACGACCAATTGAACAGATCTCCTAGTAGCTGAGACACTGTACATCTCTGTTCATGAGCATGAATAATGGGGAAGCATCCTGACCAGAAGGAGGAGTTAGCCAAGGGGGTTACATCTAGATACTTGGGGAACAAGCTTAATTGGAGACCGTTTAAGTAGGCTGGGTTACCCCACTGGAAGGTATCTCCGACTAGGCTCCACCCTTTATCAAAAAAAAGTCATCTTATCAAACGTATTTGGCTGTAATACATGTGCCTGGTATACATTTACCGGACGACAGGGGGGGGGGTTCATATTGAGCATATTGTGTGTTGTACATTTGTACCCCAGCATCACTTTGTTGGCAGGCTACTCTCTCGCTAATTAATATTAAGAATAATAATAGCACCAGCTTCACTTTGCATTAAGTAATAAAACTATTTTTTTTTTTTAACATAAACATACATTTGTACACAAATACCAGTTCTGTCTTCTCATAAAAAAGAAAAACTCACAAATGAAATGGGACTGAAAAATTTTCAGATCAACCCACTTAATTTGACCAAACATTTTCTTTTTTTTTTTATACATACCTATAATTCAGATTGATTGATTTTAGTGATAAAAAGAGGAAAAAAAATTTCAATCAATCTAAATTCGGTTTAAAATACGGCAAAGTATTTTTTCTCATTAGGAATATTAAAAAAAATTATCTATTACCTTAAAACTAAAATTAACACTTCAATAAAAAGTTTTCATTTTTTAAATTAGGTATATAGCTACACTACACACATATAGGTGCCCCTAAGCAAGTTACGGGCCAAGTTTATGCCTCATTTAAAAATCAAATTAATTAACTTTCATTGTTTCAATTATTCTTGCTTGCTTGACTATATCAAATATAGTTTGATTTATGATTAAAAAAATTTCGCGGAATACAAAACAAAATTTCAATTAAAACTTAAGAAAAAATTCAATCGGCGCATAAAAAGAATGACAATTATTCCAGATTCAAAAATGAAAATAAAAATAAAACAGGAATGATTATTAAATTTTGAACTTTTAAAAAAGAGACATTTAAAAAAAAATCACCTGTTTGTGGAGAAGCACCATTACTCACAGTTAGTGAGGAATTGGTAGCAGATGCTGCTGTAGTTGCCGTGGTTACCCGACTCGAAGTCGGGGCCACAGGTTGTGTGATGGGAAGTGATCGAGGTTTGGTGAGGTCGGCAGTGTTTATGTGATATAACTGCTGGCCCTGATTCGTATTTACCAATATCTGAGTGGAATTAGTCGATCTGTCGGTAGAAATAGAAATAGTCGCCAATGTAAAGTTGCCAGAATTGAATAAATTTGTATTCAACACAGTACCAACCACACTGGTGCCACTACTTGAGGTAATCGTACTGCTGCTAGCAGTAGATGAAACAGTAGCACTTGAATTGATCGGGTTATTATTGTTAATACATAAATTGTTTTTACTCGGAGTGTTAGCGGCAGGGGTTTCATTGAGAGCTATCATAGGACTGTCAACAAACACTGGTTTCGTATCTACATTAAGTGAATTCACCGAATTTTGGGAACAGTGAATGGTGTTGTTGGTAGTAGTAGTGGTGGTGGTGGTAGTAGTAGAAGCAACCAAATTAGGGCTCGAAACCTGAACAGAGGTCTCTAACAACCCAGTCTGTGGGGGAGTAGGAATTAGTGGGCTTGAAATCGCAGACGCGGATTCAGGGCCTAAAGAAGCGGGTAGAGATGAAGTGATCTCTTGTTTGGGGCCAACTGATTCCTCAAACTCAATTCCCTGATCGGGCATGCTTTCCAATTCCTGTGGAGTCATCAAAGTGTTGCTTTTGTCGGTTCCAACTCGTTTAAACTCCAGGAGAGGCACCTGCAGACCCAACGTCCCTTGACCGTCAGTCGGATGACCCATAGTATCGGAAGCTGATATAGAAGTCATACAGTCAGCATGTTTTCCTTCTATCTCGAGTATAGCACCAACACCATTAGTGGTTATTGTTGTTGGTACTGTAGAAACGGTGTTTATAGTACAAGCAGCAGAATTTGTAGAAACAGAGCAAGAAGGTAAAGATGATGACGATATAGGACAATTCAAGCCAGTATTACCGACAATAGTACACGTTTTAGTAGATGTAATACTATTAGGATTTGGAATCGAAGAACCTACAGCACTGTCTACGCCGTTTAAAACGATACTATTGTCATTACTATCGCTTGAAGGTGTGTATAACACAACCGATTCATTTTCTGTTGTTGACAATACCACATGGTCAGTCCCGGCCAAGGGGGGAATCACCCCTGCTGGATCGGGACACACTACTAAATGTTCCCCAGCAAATAAATCGTCCACAACAATATCCTTGCTTGTTTTACCGGTGCCTATGTCCAGTGCATCCACAACACCGTGGGGAGTCTGCTGGTGCCCGACTAATTCGAATTCTACAACGGAATCAAGATTTCGACAACGAGACTTGAACCATTCCGAAGTCTCTTCCACAACTGATCGCTCGTAACTATTCAAGTCTTCAACAACTTCCTCCTCTCCTTCGACATCTTCCTCCTCATCCTCGTCATATTCATAATCAGAAACTGAAGACGAATTCGAAGATAAGCATTGCAAATTATGAATGGCCATTGTCGTATTGTTGTTGCCGCCGACAGAATTAATAGTTTTGAGGGAGATACTATCAGAATTAAGAGACTCTTGAGAAATAGCGACCTTTCTGTTGTTATTCGTCGTCTTCGTAACACTAGGAAGTAGAACTGCTTTTCTTTTTGCTTGCTTCTTTTCAATAGTAGTAATCGTATTGCTACTACTATTTTTTATGTTGTTAGCGATGGCACTACAAGATGGAGTAATCCTTACTGGGCATTGTTGAATCTGAAGGACAGACGATGATGGGGACAACACCAAAGATGACGACAGCGAAGGAGAAAAAGCGGCAAATTCAGTATTGTTTTCCTCTGCTTGATCGTCGTGTCTCGCCGTACGTTGTTGTGTTGTTTCGCCATCTTGGAAGGCGGCGGCAGTAGCGCTGCTTTTACGACAACGGCTAGTCGTGACAGGTCTGTGTCGGCCGTCTACGACTGTACGTCCAACTTCAGCGGCCAGGGAAATACCTGAAATAAGTCCAGCCTGGGGCCTACTGCTCTCAGCATGTGCACGGCCATGGGCGCCGCCATGTTGTTCCCTGTTTCGTCCCCCTTTACGCGACATTTTCGGTCCCCGTGCGCCGACAGTGTGCGGGGTTCACATGCACGGGACACTGGGATGACGTCACGATACCACGTGACCACAATCAAGCATATAAAACTAGAAACACCGCCGGTGAATGGTCAGAAAAAGAAAATAAGTATAAAACAAATAAAAGGAGAGATTTACTCTTTTTCTTTCATTTTTATCACTTTTCGTCTGAATATGAATGAAAACCCGAATTTTTTTGAAACAAGAATTTTGCACACTAAAAATTCCAAAATTAGTCATTGTCTCAATACGATGCAGTACGGATGCTCAACCGTGTAATAATCTTTTTTTTTTTTTTTTTTTTTGCTTTTTGGTAGATCCGTATTATTTCTAAGGCTGATATTTCTTCTGAAGTTGCTTTTTTATATCAATGCCTTAAGGATTTTATTTAGATTTTAATTAAAGTAACAGATAGAAATATATTTCTACTGTTAAGACATTTTCTTTTGCTTAGAAAAGGCTAAGTTTGGGGCTGTGGAGAGAATTTATTGCATAACAATCTGCTTGAAAAAGAAAATCAACATTCGAACAATATCTGCGGCAGTTCTCATCCATAAATAAAATGCAGGCATGTATTTTAAAAATAATAAAGCTTCTGCTTAGTCTAATAAGTGCAGTTTCAAATTTCACTTATTGACGAATTAAGAAACACTTACTGTCAGAATTCACAATTTTACAAGTCGTTTCGTAAATAAAATCTGAAATCTCATAAATAATGTGCGAGATTTAGCCTTTTCTTAATCTCGAAGATTATTACAAGCTTAACTGGATACTGCAGCTTTTTAATGCTTCACACATTATTGATCTTATTTTGCTAAATTAAAGCAAAAATGCGTGTTTTGCAATATAATGCACTTTAGGGTAGTACACTTAGTAGTGACTAGTGAGAGATTCCCACTGAGTGCTTAAATAAAAATACTTATGTAGCCTTTTTTTTCTTCTTTTTTTTAAGCGAAGCTTCATTATTATTTCAACGAAAAAAGGAGTTTTCATTGTTAGTGTAGTTAATTGCGATAAAGAATCGTGAATTTGGGATTCTGGTCAATTAATTTTTTTTTTTTAAAGTAATTCCTCTAAAAACAGCTTCTGCTTAATTTAAGAGACGTGACAAAAAAGATTCACGTCAAGTGTTAAATTTTATTTTATGCAAAGGCATGAGTTTTAGACTTTTGTTTTTTAGTAATGTAATTTAATTTTAAATTTTATTGTTTTTTTTTGCTGTACACTAGTAACTTTAGTAATTCGACATCTCTCTTATGAGAGATGCAGCAATCAAGAGATTATTTATTCGTTTATTTTTATACTGAAAAACTAAATAAATATGATTTCTCTTCTTTTTTTTTACTTTTATAGAAGCAATAACAAAATAAACGTTTTATATACTTGTCAAAATCTCGTTTCTAAAATGTGTAGATACGCAAGATGACTCTCTGCTAGTAAAAAAAACAGTTGTGCCTCATTTGGTAAAAAAAATAGATTTATAATTATTTGATTCGAGTTCGAATTAAAAACCGAACACTAGGTATTTAAAATATTTTAATTTCTTGTTTTATTTCTCTTAATCTTTCTTAAAACCCAAGACACGAGTAAATAAGAAATGTCAACTCAACATGATGACTATTCTCTTCCTCATTTCTGTTTACTTTCAAGATGGACGATTTCTTCATTTTGGCTTCAAGATCAACGATTGACTTTCTTATCTAAGGATTACTGCATATAACTGATAAAAAAATGAAGTTTCTTTAAAAAAAAAATTAAAGAATAAATTAAATAGCAAAGAAATGAGATTTCAATTTCGTCTGTCTTTCTTACGAAAATAGCATATTTGCTTATTTTCGAAGAAATTTTTGTTTTCTTTTTAAAACGAATGACTTTAAAAAATTTTCATGGACTGAAAAGAGAAAAAATTAAAAAATAATAAAAGAATAAAAATTAAGTGTTTTTTTCATTTTTAATGTTTTTTGCATGTTTCATTTTTTTTTTATTGTTTGTATTTCCTAAATTAAATCATGTTTTTATTGTCATTTGTTTATTTACTTTTGATAAAAATGAAATTCCTGCAAATATTTGTTTTTAAATTTAACGTTTCTTTTTTAATTATACAAAAGGTGGGTATTGTAAATTTCTCGCTGTAATCCATTGATTTACTTCCCTTACATTTCTCGTTTTATTTTTTTTAACTAATCTCATATTCCGACTCATCGTTTTAAAAGAAAAAAAAATTCTTCTCTTAAATGTAAACTAAAGTTTACTTAATTCTTTTTTTTATTATTAGAAGTTTATTTACAATTTAATTAATGTCCTTATTTTTGTTATTATCCCAACGTTTCGGCCGTTGTGAAAGAGCAAGTGGCTTTCTTCAGGCGTCTATAGCCTTCAAGGTAGATTATTCTCTTTTCCCCCTGTCAATATAACACAATAGCTTAGAGTATTAAAATGTTGGTACGTGAATTTTATGAGTTCAATCCTTAGGCCGGTTAGTGCAGGCTTAGACTGAGTGGAAACAACACTAGCAATAAAAATTAGAAGTATTTACAAACCAGAGAGAGACTGATTCAGTTTGAAAATCCCTTAAGGTTTATTGTGGTATAGGACTTAGGGATTAAAATGAACAATTGATTTACTCACGCCAAGAAGATTAATGAAGGATGATGACAAGGTAACACACAGGAAATTTTAACAAAACAAGATAAGGAATATATTCATGAAGTTACATGCTTAGCTTAAGTAGTGTCAATAGCTCATTTCTGGAAAATAAATCAGAATTCTTAAAATCCATAGTTAAATGTATTGTCATGAAGAGGAAATGTTCATAAATGATCTGACCAAAAATAATATTCAAAAATGTTTAAGACAAAGGTAAGAAAGTTTGTTGCTCACTGAAGAGATATATGGTTTGTATATGTTCAAAAGTAGATAAAGAGAGTTTAAAATACTTAGATTTCTTGGATTGTTGAGAGGAAATTATTTCATGTGCTAGTTAGAAGACAGTAATATAATCAACAGGTCATTTTACACAGGTGAGTACTTCAATGGTGGTTGCGAAAAACTGAAACGAAACCTTTCACATGACCAGACACTCTTTTTCAATTAATATAATTTTTCTCTTCATTTTGTGTTAAAAAGGATTTCACATATGCTTGCTATTTTCTTTCCTACTCCTTGGCTCACCAGCCAATTTCTGTGAAGGCAAGGTTTTCATTGGTTCAAAAACAATTTCACATAGGCTCACAAATATTCCTTAGCCATCTGAATTTGAAGGGAGAAAGAAGTTATTTTGTCCTTACCCAAATCAACAGACATCTGAAGAAAGCCAGAGAGGCAGGACAACAATCATAACATTGTTATAGTAACAACAAAGATAAAGATATTAATGCTCCTTGTTCTTCTATGTACCATGTCCCTTCAGGAAATTGGCAATCATGGCTCTCCACAACTTCCTGTCCTTTGTAGCTCTTAGTAAATTTTAGTCAAATTTTCCAAGCCCTCATTCTTTATTATGTACCATAGAAATTTCAAAACCTTGTTGTTGCTTGCATGTTCAGTCCATGGCATCCTCAGTGTCCTTCTGTAGAACAATATTTCCGTTGTTTCAAGTCTCTTCTTCATCATCTTCAGATGATTGTCCAGCATTCACTGTCATATAGGAAGACTAATATTACATAACAGTTGAATACTTTTTTCTTTTCTTTTTCAAATGAAACTTTTCTGTTAATAATTATATATCTTCATCTTAGAAATTCAGACGGAAGTGCTACTAGCCAATAATCTATTCAGGTCATATATAAAAAAAAATACATGTGAAGGGAAAATGGGGTAGACTCTTTTTTAGTGCTTCAAACGTTTTTTACGTACTACAGATTTATCTCCCTTATATTGCGTGTATTTGTTTTAGTTTTTTAACCATGTTTCATATTATGAGATGTCCTTTTGATGCAAAAAGTTGTTCTTTCGAAATAAAGTGAAAATAACAAAAAAAGAAATAAAACACAAAAGAGGCAAATAATTGATTTGTTTCCATAGATAAAAACTGAAATTTAATTTAATTTCTGCTAGGGAAAATTGAATATAATCTATACCAGTGTTTCAAATAATTTCTTCATACCAAACTCTGATTTACTTGTCAGACATAGGACTTAAATCTTTTCAAGGAGACTCATATTATGAACCCAACTTTTGAGTATTTTTCATATTCAGAATGTAAACAAAACAATTTCTAAAGAATTAATATTTTTATTACTTCAAACAGGAATGCAAGTTCGAATCCTCAAGTACACAGACCGGCAGATGAAATAAATACTGTTTAAAATAAACTATCTATTCAAATATGGGTATCCACTAAAAGTAACATTTGAAGTAATAAAAATATGTCCAATTAAAAAATAAAATTCATTAATTCTTTAGAAATTGCTTTGTTTACATTTCAGATATGAAGCTTGCTGATGTTTTTTTGAAAATTAAAGGCAAAATTGAACCTTGATTTATAGTGACACTCTTTGTACCTGAGCAGTAAAAACACACCAGATCAGACAGGGTTTCCTCCTGCAAAATGGGATGCAGGTTTGAATCCTGCTGAAGGGCACATTTTCCTTTAAGTTCTTTAGAGTATACAGACTGGTTGATGAAATAAATACAGTTTCAAATAAACCAAGCATCTATTCAAATACTGGTATTGACTAAAAATAATGTTTGAAGTAATAAAAATATGTTTGCATGTTTTGTTAAATATGAATGACATGGAATATTTTATGAGTTTTCTAATTTTATTTTTCTTGTGTCCTTACAAGTTAGAAGACTGAGTTTGTGGAGAGATTGTTTATTGTGTTGACTTTTCCAGAGCACTTTCTTTCAGTTAACATTTTAGTCATTTTCAAGTCAGGTTTAATTTTCATGATAAAATGTATTATTAATATATTTTTATTTTGTTTTCTGTAATGTGTTATAAGAGAGGCACTATATGCAAAACAAAGATT